ACCACAATAACATAGCAAATCTGTCTCGTTTATTCAACATATCTGAAAAGAAAAAAACAAAAAAAAAAACCAGGTGATTTGGTTGTACACAAATCCTAAATACTGGTGTCACCAGGTAAATCTGTGTGACTTTAGGTGCATGGCTATTGTGTGACTATTGTGCATGGCAGGACACAGAGATCTCCTGGACACCATCCATACCTACCAGAGTGTATATACCTGTGACCACGTAGCTCAGTTATCTGGCAATCTGAGCGACTTCTGGGGCCCACATTCACACCACAATAAGGAACTGCACCGTGCCATATAAGAAAATACTTGAAGCCAGCTCAGAGGTCTGTAATACATCCCTGGTTTGAGCCCTGTAGACATGCCCTTTGAGTTCTTGGCCCACAGCCTTGATTAGAGTCAATTGGCATAGCTGTGCTACAGTCATTTCCCTGTTTACATAGGATGAGGATCTGGTGCATTATGTATTTTGGCCATGGAGTACAGCTCTGCCTTCTGCTCAGCTGGCTGGCTGTGAAGACTGCAGTTGCTGGGTTTTGAACTCAGCATTCAGGGTCGGACCGGGTGACACTGCAAAGCCTCCACACTCAGGCAAGTTTCCAAAGTTTCCAGGAAACCCGTGTGACCTCCTGCTACCTGACTTTCCCTGATTGTTTCACTTAACTCTGATGGCTGCTGGGATCAACATTTACTGTGGGTGCTCAGAAAGACTCAACCAGGTTCTAGAGGAGCTGGTGCACCAGCGGTGAAGGTGCACCAGCACCCAGGCTCTGATGGATGTGCTGTCTTCAGGGGGGATTGCCACACCATGAACCACAGGCAGATTGTGGGTGTCTGTATTCAGCCATGAAGAGACTCTGCTGCTGTTTTGATTGACATGGTTCATAAGATGTGAAGGGTATTTCCATCAGGGAAATACAGATACAGTTTAAAACAGGCTTTAAAAAATAGACTAATTTCTGGATCCCACACAAAATGGTTTTAAGTCCCAGTTTGAGTAAGCAAGATAATTAGTCCGCTTGTGGAGGGTTCTTTTACTGTTTGTCTCCAGTGGATAGTCTTAAATTACTCATAATCTTATTTATATTAGTTTAACATAGAATGTGGGACTGTTTCTTTGTTTCATTGTATGAATGCTTTTTTAGATCCATCAACCTGCTCCAGTAATTTCAATACTGAAAGAAATTTTTAAAATCTCTAATTATTATCCTAATTATGTTCATACTATGAATTATAATTACAGGTTGCATGTTCTTGATTAATGAAGTCCACCATGGAATTCTAGAAATCAGTGGTGAAGCATTATATTACTGTAGTTGTGTCTGGTGGTATCTGTCACATTTTTCATGGGAAAAATATTCCAGGCATGTGTAGCACTCTATCTATCACCTGTCTATCTGGGCATGATAAATGCAGCAAAAAAAACCCCAAAGCATTGACATTGATAGGAGTTTTCCATTGACTTCTATCAAACAAGAAATAGACCCAGTTCAGGAGCCTCACCAAGGTTTCTGCGTGTAATAACTATTTTAAGCCTTTTTTCTTTTTTCCCCACAAAGTTATTATTGTATGAAAGGAAATATAAACAGACCTGATCTCACTGAAATGTTACATATATCCAATGTAAAAATTTAAAACAAAAGCGGGAAAACTATCATCTACAACCTTCTTTGCTCTCATTTTCTAATCTGCCTAAGGAGCTGCTGAAACAATTAGGCCCTTTAAGATCTTGATAAAATCTTGTTTACCAGGATCCTGCAAAGCTGAAAAAGGCATAACAACTGTGTCCAATATTTGTATACTTTTCTATTCCTCTCTCTCTTTGTGTTTGACCTGTCTTAATATATTTCTGACTGTGCAGATTAGCCAGAAAACCAAAAATAGGAAATACTACTCCAGCTTGGTTTGCTAAGGTGTTAAAAAGGCTTGTGGATAAATTCACAGTGTGTAATGCATCTGTGATTCCTCCACTTCACAGCCCCTTCCCTCTCCGCAGCCTCCCCCATGCTTGTACTGCATCTGTGCATAATCAGGGAGAAGAGAAACCTTTCTTTTACACTGTCTTATCTCAATATCCTTTGTTCATGCCAAGCAGCAGCTCATGAATGCCAGTTGCTTTGCTCTACCTCTATCTTACAAAGGTTGTTTCAGTTCCAAGGGGAGAAACCTATCATTCCCAAACAATTGAAGAGATTTGTATCTGAACATAAATAAACAAAAGCTGTCCCTAGGGAACATGGAAAAGGTTTTTCTCTAGAGAAGCAGTTCCTTCATGTGCCCCAAGTCCCTGGGGCTGTGCTGCAGCTCCCGCAAAGGTCCGCCCTGCAGCCAGGGCTAGATTGAAGGAAAGCACATCTTGGGCTGAAGGGAGGGAGTACAAGGCACCAAGGGCTGCTGCTCCTCCTGGGGCACATGGCAGGAGGTGCCTGGGGCTGAGGCAGAGAATGGGAGGCAGGAAATCCTTCCCCCAGCCCGCCCCCAGTGTTGGGAACCCCAGTGTGCTTCCCATACTTCCCAGGCTGTCCCCAAGGGATCAGCACATGAGGGGAAAGAAAAAGGGCAGCTAGCGGGATAATCACACTAGGGTTTGGAGCTGGTGGGCAGAGTATCCAAGTAAAAGAGAGCTGTGTAAACTGGTGAAATTAACTGTTATCTTCACAAAGGTAAAAGGCAAAGTATTTTTGAAGTCTAGCCTAAGAACTTCACCCTTTCACAGATGTCTGATAATACCCTCTCCCACCCTTAAACCTTTCCTCCAGTCAACTTTTACTCTCCCTGTCTTTATCATCAATTTGCAGCCTAATTCTTTGTCAAATCGTGTTTCTCATGGTGTCTTTTCCCTCCTATCAGAACTTTTTGTTCTGCAGAGGACAACACACCTGCTTTGGTTCAGTGCTCTAGAATTAGAGGTTATATCAGGCTAGAAGGGAACCACCTTATTCAACTCCCTGCTATTCACAGAGCACTTGTTTCTATGTCTGTTCCCTACAGATATTTAAATTATGCTATTTCCTGTTGTGTGTCCTGCAAGACACAAGAAGGGGTACATGTGTTTTAGCTGGTGTGATTCCTCTCCAGGGACAATTACACCTCATAGAGTCATAGATTATGCTGAGTTGGAAGAGATCCATAAAGACCATATAATCCAACTTCTGTCCAACTCTTGGTACAGGACACCCCAAGAATCCCACCATGTGCTTGAGAATGTTGTCCAAATATTTCTTGAATTCTGCCAGGCTTGGTGCTGTTACCACTTCCCTGAGGAGCCTGTTCCAGTGGTGAAGAACCTGATATCATATTTTCCTGATATCCAACCTAAACCTTACCCAATACAACTTCAGATCATTTCACTGTGTTCTGTCACTGGTCACCACAGGGAAGAGATCAGTGCCTGCCTCTCTGCTTTCTCTTGTGATGATGTTAAAGACTGCAGTGAAGTCTCCCTCAGTCTCCTCTTCTCCAGGCTAAACAAGCCAAGTGTCCTTAGCTGATCCTCTTTTCAGTTGCATTCTACATCCAAAGAAATTCAGAATGAAAAACTATGTAGGCATGAATAAGCAAAGTTTTACTGAATTAAATTTTATACTCACTCTGAGGTAGTCTAGCCCAGAAGGTACTAAACACTTGGGGAACCTCTGTCAAACAAATTTAGTGCAAATGTGTAAGTTTATATGCTATCCTCTAATTAGAAACCTAATTACATCAGCAGACCATGGGTCACAATTGTGTAATTTCTATTCACTGTAAAGCATTCAGAACATTTGCAAGAGATATTGTGCCTGAACCCTTCAAGTAAAAAAATTCTTTTGCAACATATTCACTGAGAAGAAGGCAGGACCATAACCAATATAATCATGCAACACCCAATAGCATCATTGCAGATGGGAAATAGGAGTTATTAAATAAGACTCAGAAATGGGTGACACAATTGACAACAACTTGTTCTTGCAGGGAACATTCACAGCTGGTGTAACTGCACTGATTCCTGCAGTGATACTGATTGAAATGACCTGGAAATGTATCCTTCCAGTATGATGGCCTTCACTTTTGAGGGAATATTTTGCTGTCCTTTTATGTACTTCATTACAGCCTGTTTTATCTGCCTTGTATCCTCCATGTTATGACATTATTGCACCATCAGTTCCTGAGACAAATACTCATCACCTCAAAATGCTCATCAAAACTCTGCTGCTTTGTGAGAAGCAAACTGAACTGCCAGCGACGAGAACAGACTTGATAAGAGAAGCTGGCCTTTTGCTCCTCTCCTGCTTATATCCTGATAGGCAATATGTCAGGGATAATTTTTTTTAAAATTAGAATTTAAAATTAGATTTTTTAAAAAAAAATTAGTTTGGTTTATTTTACATCAGCTTTTTTTCTCCCCAGTAAAATAGAAATAGAAAGTAGTCTGCAAGAAACAGACATTTCAGACAGAACCATTTCACCAAGATGTATGAAGCAGTGAGGTCTTTTATAATGCCAAAATCTCTTTCAAATGTAAACATTGTTTACATTTGAATGTGAGCACTCACAAAAATGAAATATGAGAAAGGTGTGATTTGGCTCCTGTGGAACTCCTGAGTTTTCTGTGACTGGCATTTCTCCCTGGGGTAATTTATAAACTAATATTCCCCATTGCGAGAACATTGGCAGGCTTGCAGAGAGAATAGCTCCAATTTTCACTCTAACATATCTGGCTTACATCCAGAAATTGCAGAAAGAATTTACCACAAAAGTGAGAAAAAAGGGAAATTCTTAAAAAGGCATATTTTGAGCAAAGGTACATCAAGACACTACTCAGAAAAATAAATATGCAGAATATGGATTAGCAAAGTGGAATTTATTTTGATTATAAGCAAATGTAATTTATAAATCATACAAAAATATAAATAAAGCTACATAAATAAGAATGCCTTGCTAGCACACAAAACTAAGTGGACACTGGAAGCTGCACAAATTCCCTTCTTAAGTGCTGGAATTTTTTGATCTAGGTCAAAGGTTCCACGAGCTACATGAATCAACAGATGTAGTAGTTTTGAAGATGTACACTGAACCTCCTTGGAACTTCTTAAAATAGAGTGGCTGCTGAAACAAGATCCAGTGGCGTTGCCGGCTGCCTAGACACCGTTCTATTTTAATAAGTGTCATGGATGCTTTGGGGCATATCAAAAATAAATGGCAGTAAGTAGGTAGGAAGCCAAGCGTCTGTGACTTCCAGCAGAATTGCAATGCAAATAAACTCCAGTGAAGTCTTTCACAACCTCTCCAGGGTTATCTCTACACCATTGTTTCCAGTCAACAATTTATAAACTTGGATTTGCTGATTATCCTTGTCTGGACAATAGACTGCAGCTGCTAATGCTTTATATAATGGCAGAGTTTGACAAGTGATTAACAGACTAAACTAACTAATTTCACCTTTATCAAGGTACTGCAGTGAGTGTCCTTTAAAACCGTTGCTTTTCTTCTATTGGTTTTTACCTCAGTGCAGTTTCACTGACTTCAAAGAAGATGAATTTATTCTAGAATAGATGACAAAAGCAAATTAGGGCTAAGGGATTTAAAATGCAGGCAAAAAGAACCTTCCAAAAGCCTAAACAAGTTTGGTTTCAAACCAAATCCTTATGAATGAGTGGAAATATCATAATATATCAGGCATTGTCCCCATCTTCTGCCCTTCCCCTCTTGTCCCCTTGCCTTATCTAATTTTTATTTTCAAAGATAATTGAATATTTCAAATAACAGAAATATATTTAGGTATTTATATTCAAAGACTAGACTTGTTTGCCAAATTGTATGAAAAATTTGCTTTTTCCTATTATTTTAACTCCATTAAATTATTATTTTTTTATTCTCAAATTGTCTATATAATGGAAAATCAATAAATAATTTATACATTATGACGGCAGCCATATTAAACTCTTAGTGTATGTACAAGTGCATGTGAAAAAGATTTTGGACAAGAAGAAAGCTCTAAGAATACTAGAAAAAATGCATACTCGAGAGAAAATCTTTAGATAATAGTGAGATGCAATAAGAACATTCAAATCCTTTGTGTGTTCACATTAACACTGATTTGTTTTTATTCAGGAGATTGTAAATTGGCGACACCCTGGAGGAGAGTTAAACACGTGGACAGAACTTCTGTGTGGAACGTTTTGTTTCCAGCTATGTACATGAAAGGCATTTCTGAGAAGAAAGTTGCTGCAGTCACAGCCTAGCAAAGCAAACTTACTAATTAACTGCAGGCTGCACCACTTGCACTTAGCTACGTGCCCAGGCTGACAACACCGCCTTCAGTGCTGCTTTGCAAACAAATTTAAATATTCAGCGCACAGCTTCTGGGAAAAAGGCCATCTTTCTTCATGCTGTAGCTCTGGGATGTAACATTTATTAGTGACTTATGCTTATTTCCACTGGCTTTGTGATGCCAGGAGAGTTAGCAGCAGGCTGAATCCTCTAGGTGTATACACCCAGTAGGAATGGGGAAGGGAAGGAACTACCATGAGGGATGGAACAGGGAGGAATGTGGAGATGCCTGTGCAATGCTGGTTGGCAGTATGGTTGTCTGGAAAAACAAAATCTCCTTTGTGGCAAACGTAGAGGTTTAAAATCTGTTTACACTGTGTATCAGAATGTGAATAATTTCTATTTAAAAAGTACACCAAAAGTAAGTAAAAGCAAAGAGTATCTCTGCCAAGTGTCTGATAACCAGCCTCAATATCTTTTGATCTTCTCTGTGTCTTCTACCAGTTTCCAGGCTCACAACTTTTATTCTCTGAAGAGTGCCCCCCCCCACCCCC